TGTTTTAGTCAACCTTTTCACTGCTGTGACCAAAAGACCTGACAAGCACAATCGGAGGAGGAAAAGTTTATTTTATGTTTCATAGTTTCAAAGGTCTCAGTCCATAGACAGCTGTCTCCATTTCTCATGGATTGAGGTGAGGTAGAACATCATCATGGCAGAAGGTATGGTGGAGGAAAGCAGCTCAAGAGATCAGACCAGGAAACAAGAGAGTCTCTACTCACAAGACTCAAAATATATACCCCAAAGGCACTCCTCCCCATCCTGACCCACCTCCTCCAGCTACACCTTACCTGGCTAGTTACCACTCCGTGAATCCCTGTAAGAGGATTAATTCACTGATTGGGTTAAGGCTTTCATCACCCAATCCTTTCACCTCTACACCTTCTTGCATTGTTTCACACATGAGTTTTTGGGGGACATCTCACATCAAAAACCATAACACAATGTCCTTGGAGTCTTACCCTATGCATGAAAATGTTCAGTCAGTCAGTGGCTTAAGGGAAATTTTTAAGAAGTTATTTGTGTTTTTCCTTTGTGATTCCTTCACATCTAATGTTTTGCCTCAAGTCCAACATATTCACTGCTCTCAACATTAACTCTTCTCTCTTTATTAAAGCACTGAAAGATGACTGAAAAACATAAAGAACCCCAGTGATGTTTAGGAAAACAAAATTAGAGTCTTACAAGAAGAGGAGAATATGAAAAAGCTTAAAATATTTGAAGAAATAGAGTTGATGAAAGACATAACTTATGGATCCAAGAATTACAACAAGTACCAGACAGTAAAATATAGAGAACTAGACCCAGGCTCATCATAATCAGACTACTGAAAATAAAGAGAAAAACCTTAAAAAGCTTATGGGGGTGAGGATGGATACCACACATCACTACAGAGAAGCAACACTACAAATGACAGCCAACTTCTCATCAGAAGCAATGGAGTCTGAAATACAATGGAATATCTTTAAAATACTAAAAGGGGGGCAGAGAGTCTTCTCAGAATCCTGTATTAAATGAAAATATCTCTCAAAAAGTAAATAAAGATATTTCTGTTAAATGGAAGGTGAGAAATTCTATCGCATGTAGACTTACACTATTAATATAAAAATATATTTTAAATAGACCTTTGCTACTTTGTCTTGCTTAATTGTCCTAATCCCCCCAACTGTCCAGGTTAATCCCACATGCTGACAGGTTTTAGGTTATCTATTCCACAATTCATGACAAAAAGATTATCTGATTTAATGATGTTGAGGTAGGCATAATATAAATTGCTACTTTCCACAACAGAAGTGGGGAAATTTCCTTTCGATTTGTCATAACAACTACAATAAAGCTCTCTGAACACAGGTGGCTAACGCTTCTTCTTTGGTGCAGGCAGAGAAGCCAGGTCAGCACGTGGAGGACACAGCTAGACTACTTCTGAAGGGAAGTCCTCATTCTGGGTATGCTTATCACAAACGACAGAAAGTCAAAGAGAACCTGCCGAACAGAGCCCAGGAAAGTCAGAGAAGGGCTGGAGTCTTTGGTCTGCTATAAAACGTAACATTCTGGCTCCTCATAAAACAGGGAACAATGAATGTCTCAGGCAATTGATATTAGCATTAAATACATCAGCAAAAAAGCAGAGTGAGCACTTTTCCTTTTGTGCTAATCATAGGGAGAAATCCTCTCAAGAGTTATGATTGTACTCAACCAAATCTTATTCCCATATTAACATATAAGGTAGTTTGTCAATCTTTACAAGGTCAGAAAAGAAAAACAGTGTTCCCCATCCTCGTCAATAAAAGATGAAGCCCTTCAGCTATGCTACCATCCTGGCTTCCATGAATGGTTATCTCTGGCATTACTTATATAGACTTATTTTTTAAGCTCCAGAAAAAAATAGTTCCTTGGAGGAGAAAGAAGTAATTTGTTTACTTAGACTGAAGTTCTTTTCCCTGACAACCACAGAAATGAATATCCTAAATATAAAACCCTGAAGAGAAACATAATAAATAACAGCATTTGGAACCAGATTAAATTTGTAATCTGGCTCTGTCACTTTCCTTTGTGACCTTGGTAAGGTTGACATGGGTGTTTCAGTTTCCTTATCTATAAAAAGAAGACAAGGGTACCTTCCTTACTTAGGACTATTTTTGAAAACATGAGTTATGTATGTTAGGTATTAGCACAGATACTAAGCACAGTTACATCTTTGCTATCGACTTTGTACAAATTCCAGCCCTCTAATTTTTTTCTATTCCTACTACTTAGATTCCAGAAAAGCTTTCTTTTATCACAGAGCAATGATTCTTCTATTTGAAAATATGCATCTATTGGTTTTCTAGGAACTTGTCACACTCCGTTGGTACTTCAGCATGGTAATTGTGAAAAATAGTTCTCAACACTTGCCGACCACAAGAAAACAAGGTTGCTGAGGGTTGCATGACTGGGCTCGTGACTGATCATCCTATGAGAACTGTATTGTGTAAATGTCGTGAACCAATGCTTCCATTCCATCAAATCCTTTCTCCATAAAGAAGCAGGTGGCCTGGAAGACAACGCTGCGGAACTTCTCATAGTTGGAAGGTCTATGAATATTGTCCCTCCGGGTTGCAGGGGGGAAGGGGACAAAGTAGCAAGTGCCAAAAGAGATTCTTATCTAGTAGCAAGACCAGTCACACAAAAGGAGAAAAGAAAGGAAACATGGGCCAAATTTCTTTAAAAAGGTGGTTCAGGGCTGGGGCTGGGGCTGAGTGGTAGAGTGCTCGCCTGAGGCACTGGGTTTGATGCACAGCACCACATAAAAATAAAGATATTGTGTCCACCTACAACTAAAAAAATACATTTTTTTTAAAAAGGTGGTTCAGCTTGGAAACCCTTCAAACTGAAAATGCAAATAAGGTGCAAAAATATGAAGAGAATTGACTTTTTTAATATAATAAATTCTAAACAAACCTAAATATTTGGAAAAATATAAAAACTGCACTGGAGGTCAAAATAACAGACTCTTAAAAGACAGCTAAATTCAACTGAAATAGAGGTTAAACTACTTTTAATCCACAGTCAAAAGCCTAAGAAAAGTAGAAGTAAAAACTATGAGGGAAGAAATATTACAAGGCAAGCACAATGATGAGCTGTGGATATTTCAGGGGGGCCTATGTGTTCAGTGAACCATCTGCCATTGGAGCAGCCGGTCTTTCATCTTGGTATGTCCACTCTCACGCTCCTGTGGGTGGACATCTGGGACTGCAAGCACCTCCCAGGAACGAGGATGGACAGCAGCAACTTCCTCTTTCTCTACCTGGTTGAATGAACTTCAAGAGGAAGTGAATGAGAATAAAAACTTCATTCAAGAAAGAATAAATCCACAGGGCACCAGACAACTATGAAGAATCCATCTGTGGAGATCTCTGTCCATCCAGCCATCCACACCACTGTGTATGCCCAGGCTGCAATTCAAGCAAGGTCTCTGTCCTCCAGCTCTGGCCATGGTGAACTCGGGCCTTCACCACCAGGTGCGACAGGACTCGCTGGGGGCTGCATCATTTTTGCCTTACCTGCTCTTCTGGAAGTAGCCACCCTTATCTTGGAGGACCTGTACCGGGGTGTTGGGTGAAATTGGGGATGATTATAATTCTCAGTATTCTTCTCCTAAGCACATCCTTAGGGATCTGTCTAGGTCTGCACCTCCCACTTTGGTCTTCATACCAATAAAAGCAGTTCAGTCTTGTCCTCGGTGTCTGTTCATACAAAGCCCTCGATGGGATCACTACTCCTGCTTAACCTAAGAGTGGAGTTGAATATAATCTGGATATAGGTTTGGGGATCTTTATGACCTAACATCATAAAGACACTACTTTGGCTAAGTTTTTGACTTCATGTGGGGCTTTAATTATCAAAGAATAAAATGATTGGGAAATAAGGGGTAGTATGAAGCGGTTGTCTTCTTGCAATATTTTATGTATTACATTCAAGAAAATAAACATCTGCATTATGTTTTTAAAATCAATTTTCCTCTCCAGGTATGAATAATATGCCAAAATACATTCTACTGCCATGTATAACTAAAAAGAACAAATCCATTTTCCTGCTCATGGCGTAAGTAAATGTCTAGTCTCTTCCCAGTTCTTGAGCCCTGACCATTCTCCTCTGCTAACCCAAAGTATGACACTAACATTGTCAACTGGTGACAACTCTGGAGAACGTTAAGATACAGCTCCACATTTTTTTGGATTCTATTAAAGTCAAAATATCTAACATTCTGTACATAATCAGGTTAAAATTCATCTTTGAATAGCCATGATTTTTTTTTCAGAGAGAGAGAAAATTTTTTTAAATATTTATTTTTCAGTTTTCAGTGGACACAACCCCTTTATTTTTATGTGGTGCTGAGGATCAAACTCAGTGCCCCGTGCATACCAGGTGAGTGCATTTCCACTTGAGCCACATCCCCAGCCCCGCCATGATTTTAAAAGTGGTTCATCGAAAATATAGAACAAAATTTTAAAACAAATGTTTACCCAACATGTTTAAGAATTTTAAAAGCATAAAGTTAAATCCAGTAGATCTGAGAAATCTTATTAGTAAAAGGATTGCTAAATAACCTCTAGACACCTGCATCTACATGGCCGGTTCTATTTCCACAAAATACTGTTAAGAAGGGACATGTTTCCTAAATATCACAACTCGAACCCTTGATCACCCATCCTGGGCCTCTGTGAGTTTGAATTTAGTGTGCTGGTTTGAATTCAGTCTTTCTGTCTGGTGAGATGTTCTCCTGCTTGCTCAGTTCTGGTGTTTGGCACATCAGCACCACTGTGGACTCTTAATTTGACATCTTCCTTTAGTGAAAGAATTTTATTTTTCCCTTTTTACAACAAAACTTAGTGGCTCCCACTCTCCAGTATCTGACCAGTTTATGGGACATCCAGAATCTGCCTAGCTAACCTAGCTAACCAGATACTATTCGAATCAGACACCATACCAGAATATTAAATAGACTACCAGAGAGATCTTGTGAAGGAAATTTTTATTTACACACTGTATCTAGGAGCAGATACAATAAACTCTTATACAATTAATTTCCAAAAATGTGCAAGAAATTACTATAATTTGTTTACAAACCAAAACACATATTAAAATCAATGGACTTTGGATAGTTCGTTCTGTGGTGTTCTCAGTACAAATGGTACACACCTGATTTGAAACATACAGAAAAAGTGTAAACTACAGCAATCTGGATTGCAAGTATTAATTTCATGGCACTCCAACAACTATGAAATTTCTTTAACCCAACATATATACTATTACAAAATTCTATAAGAATTTCTCATCATCTCTGGATGTAGCATTTGGATAACTTTTCAGGAACAGTGACTACATACACATTTTGCCATGTTATGATTGATCAATAAAAAGGATGTTTATAAAAGACCTTTTTTTATAGGATTAAAAAAGTATTAAAAGAAACCAAATCTGTGATTACTAGCGTACCAACACCTTTAGAATTTTAAATTTATGGAACTGGCTATTGTTCCTTATTAGAGTATTCAACAAAACTATCTATTGCTGGTAGTGTGATTTCACTTTCAAATTAATATTTCACATTCAATGAAAAGCAATTACGTTTTAAATCAAAATATATTATTTTGAATCATTCATAAAGCAATATCTCTCATATACTATGTGACACGTACAATGATTAAAATTGGCATTCCTGAAAGCATTGCTAGAAAGATAGACCTGTGGCACTAGGAGACATTGCATAAACCTATTTAAGATTTTAGTAACTTTTATCCTGTTTCAATAATACTGGCTCAGAAAATATAACATATACTTTGTGTTTCATTTCCTATATGCCAATGATTTTGCCTTTTGGCACGTGATTTTCTTCAATGGCAAGAGGGCTGCCCTGGGTAGCTGGTTTCCTTAAAACTATTTTTAGTTCTAGGTCATTTCCTGTGATATAATGTGTGACTTTTTAAATTTTCATATTGCACCAAGCAGAAAGAAAACAGTTTTCCTTAGAGAAAGGAGACATTTTTCAAGTACGTTCCACAGCTTTCTTTTCATTTATAAAAATGTATTGTCATAATAAGCCTCAACATAGCTTCCAGTCTCCACCAAACTCTATGATGAAATATTTGATTTAAAAAAAAAATTACCTCTGATCCATTTACTGTCACAAATGGACACAGCTTCCTGTTTTCCAGGAGGTCTGATTTCTTTTAAAGTACATGCTTGAGAATCACTTAAAGTTGGGTCCATGTCACTTAAGTTCCCTTTCAACAGAATCCACAAATAGAATCTAGACCAAGCTATAGGATAAAGATTTCTCTCTTTCTCCCCTTTCCACTTTTACCAGACCATTTCAGTATCAGAAAAGCCAATCTTCCACATTATGTCAAACTGCCTAGGTCAAAAGAGGTACCTCTCTACACATAGGCAGCAAATTCTGCAATACATATTTCTGTTTGCAAATTTAATTTCTTGGCAAATACTTTGATTTTTATCTATATACTATAAGAACGTAACAATTTCAAGTTGAATTATAATAGGGCATATTACTTTAACGTATTTTGCATTATGAATAATACCAAAGTACATAAAAATTGTTTTTCCAAATTAGAACAGTATTGACTTGCCCTCCAAAAAACCACAAAATACAATTTAAAAAACATTTGGATAAAGGTCAAAATAATCTTGACACTACATGGGCATATTTTAAGCACATGGCATTATGAGAAAATGCAGGGACAGGCTACATCCACAGAGATTGGTAGGTGAGGTCCCAAGGCCTCTGTACCGCCAGCTCACCGAGGACAGACAGACACAAAGAAGCCATCTCAACACTTACCATCAGCACAAGTGACTGTGACAATACCTGCCATCTAACATGGATGCACAAGGACTTCTAGATATATTTCAAATTGTTTAAAAATAAATAGTTTTGCAAAAATAGTTAAATGTCTTGCATCAATTTGATCACAAGGTTACAACTCTGTAATACTTCTTAGTCCAAATAGCTTATAGTGAACACTTAAATTATATTATTATAGAATACACCATATTCCATCTTATTAGGTGAAAACATCAAAAAATGAAAGGAGTCTTTGTAACAAGGTACAATCAATGTCCCACCAAAATGAAGTACCTTTCCCCATTTAAGTCAAAATATCAAACACTGTGATATGGCATTGTGCCTTTCCTTGGTAATATCTCAGTTCTGTCTCTTAAAAAAAAAAAAAAAACAGAGAGGCTGGGGATGTAGCTCAGTGATAAAACATGTGCCTAGCATGAACCCCAGCACCTCCACCCCCACCCCCCACAAAAAAACAAAAACTAATTAAAAAGTGAGGACACAGAGATGTTAGATGACAATGCCAGCCATAGACCAAAGACCTTTACCCTTGTGTTTTAAAGAAGGGAAGACATGGGAAAACTTAAAGTGACACAGGAAGAAATGTCCAGCATTTTGCTTTAAGGCTTGTTTAGCTGGGAATGGTTTCTGAATGGAACAATCTGAAAATTAGACTATGTTGCAGAATTACAAAGTGAACAAACACTCCACATTCCAAAATAACTAAAAATTCTCAGGCATAATATCCCTTCCCATTGACTTACTCAAAAAGAGAAAAAATTACTCTAAACTTGGTTCAATGAAAATAACAAATAAATGAAAAGCCTGTTCCGAAACTGCAGTGGATCCTGCAGGAGGCAGGCTTCTGTGTATCTATAATACTGTTTTCATCTTTTTCTCATGTGATGCTCCACAATTTCCAAAGTTTTTCAACTCAAGACACTAAGGGTTGATTTTATTGGAGGCAGAGGAAAAGAGAAGTCAAATCTAGCACATTTTATTGTGACTACATAAAAGAAAAATATAAATCCAACTTTAAAGCAATCTTTTCTTTCTATTCAAATCAATTTCAAACTTTTTTTATAAACTTTAACATTGTTAAGAGAATCCAGTCCATTTATGAAAATTAGTTGTACAATCAAGTTCACCCAAGAATGTGTTGACTAAACTAAAGAAATCACAGATTAAACATTTAACCAAAGGAACAGTGCAGGCAACATGAAAACAACGTTCTCACGGGAACTGATCTCACTTCTGTAGTCACTGTTCCAGTCTATAGGTCTTTACACTATGCCAATTTGTACCCGGGTTTAATGACAGAAAAGGCCACGATTGCTAAATTTGTGGTATATATCTCTTTATGACTCTTAAATGTAAGGCCATTTATTAAAATGGACAAACCACAAGATGAAAATGAAGGCAACAGAAAAACACAAAGTTTTCACAACCAAAATATTAGCACAACCTTAAAAATAATTTAGAAGTTGTAAAGATATGTGGCAAATTTGCATCCCATTAACTAAGATGATGTCAATTAATAATTCTAAATAAATCTTTTTGAAGTATGACATTAAAAAGTCATTTTCAGTGTATATGTAAATAGTTTTATCACACGTTCATTCAACACTAACTTTTGAAAATGGGTCATTTAAAAAGACAAAGTAATTTTCATTCTGTAAGTTTCATTCAACTTTACTTAGGGTTGAAGACACATGAAATGTGCTTTTAATGCATAAAAATCACAGTGGATAGCAGCAAAGGACGGGGGGGGGCATCAAGGAGAATCTGATAATTCACATTGTGATTATTCTGCACACTAATGAAAGATAATTCACACTTCTAGAACCTCAAGACATCCCTTTTTAAAGAACCAAAATAAACCCAAGACACCTTGCAGACACTTCCCCACCCCTCAACAAACTGTTGACTCTTACACATAAAATTAAAATAGTTATGGCAGCAAAAGATTCTGATGGCAATGAAAGTTGTAAACTGTATCTCAATCTCTTTTTCTTATTCCCAAAGTGCAAGATGCAGGGTTCTCAATCTTTCAGTAGTGCTTCTCCTGTAAATAATCCTTCATTTTGTTTGGCAAAGGCAGTTTCTGAATCAGGTCTATCCTGGTATACTGACGTATAACGAAACGACAGAGGTACTGCAGAGAACGCACCTGCATGAACCGTGACACTGGATTGGTCAGTCTGACGGGGTAGGTTGCAGATCCAGGCAACCGAGACCTTGAATAACAAAAAGCTCCATTTTCAGAGTCCCTGATTGAATGCTCAATTAGATCAACTATGGACGTATGTCCTTCCACATCTGGTTGTTCATAAAAGCTAAACCTACCATTCGAGTGCTCGATTCTAGTGTGAAGTGTTTTACCATGGGAACGAAAGCTCAAGCTTAGAAGGTAACGGTCGTCAGAACTATCCCGAACAAGAAAAGAACCATCGGGCACGTTGGCTAGCTTCCCTTCTGCCTCCCAGCGTGTGATTGGTCCCCAGTACCATCCTTGTTTTGCAAGTTTCTTCAGCTCCTCTGTAAGGCTTGTCACAACCATGGGACCACTACTTTGCACAGAGTCATAAACCCTTGCCACCCCAGGGGCAGAGTTAGGATCAAAATTCAAATGACAGCGCATACTTTCAGCCACATGGGCATCTGTGCCCGTGAGCCCACTGAAGTTCCTTTGGATCTGATTAGTCTGCATTGGAGGTAGCAATGGCGAGAGCGGAGGGACCTCATCATGACTTGCTCTGGGGCTCTGCAACATGACTCCTGTGGTGCCAATCAACAAGCCATTCACTGACTGGTCCACAAAGATCTCTGGGGCAACAACTAGGTCCTGGTCTACCTGATTCTCATCTTCGGCAAAAGAGCTTCCTCCCACTTGAGGAGGAACTGCAGAGACCTCCATGGGCGAAGAAGTGTCCAGACAATAGCTGCGCGATCCTTCCAAAGGACACATCCCCTCGTCTAAAGGCACGGTGTACTGAATGTAGTCCTGAGGCACAAGTCCAATAACTACAGGCACGTGTTCCTCCAGGTGGAGATGCAAGTCTCCGTGGGGAGAATCTGAACGCTTGAGGGAGCCATTCTGCTCCTGGCACACAGTTTCAGCCTGAAGGTCATGGAAATCCTTTCGAACCCCGTTCAGCGCAGGACTTGGACTGGAAGAGTGGACCAAAGCTTTGACCCTCACCTCCATTTTGATACAGGTCTCCTCAGAGTTCGTGGGTCGGAGGGGCCAGGGCGTGGGGCTGTAGTGGTGACTGCGGAGGGAAGTGGACCTGATGGGCCTCTGAGCTCTGACGTCCTTGAAGACCACAGGAGCCGAGGAGGAGGAGAAGGTGTCCTCCTCAGCCAAGCCCCCCGGGGGCGTGCTGCCCTTGCCCTTGGGCTTCTGCTTCACAGAAAGTCGCCTTTTCAGGGTCCCCATCAGGCTCTCGCTCTTGGATCTGCTTTTCCCACCTTTCTCATCTTCGCTATTGATATCACAGCTGGCCATATCTTTACCGTAGCAGCTACCAAACAAGGAATCATCTTTTCCAAAGTCACTGGCTAGGGATGGCTGTTGTACTACCATGAAATCAGTGTCTTCTTTACTTTTATTCAAATTAAAAGACTTCCGGAAGGTTTTAAGACTAATTTTCTTCATTATGACTAGTTACCTAATCCAAGGGATCAATTTCTCACTGGAGTATCACACTCAAACATCTGGAAAGGCCGCAGTGCTGCATCTATATATTTTTCCAGCTTCATTTGACCACTGGAGCCATTTTCTAAAAAAAAAAATCAAAAAAGACAAAACACATTAAAATACCCACAAGTGATTTTGATTTTTCAATTAGAACTTTCCACCAAAGTTTTCTTTTACTCAGTTTTAATCTTTTAGTTTCTGAAGAACAACCAGTCTTTCCTTGAGATGTCAGCTCTTTCAGTTTTTTCCTATTACACCCTGCATGGTAGATCACTGTCTGCTACGCAGTGGGCATGTGGCAAATACTAGATAATATTTAAGAACAAGCCGGGCACAGTGGTATATGTCTATCACCTCAGTTACTGGGGAGGCTGAGCAGGAGGACTGGGCCAGCCTGGGCAATTTAGTAAGACCCAGACTCAAAATAAAAAGGGCCAGGAATGTAGCTCAGTGGTAGAGGACTTGCCCACCATGCATGAGGCCCTGGGTTCACCTGTACCCACTCAACGACAGACGTAAGAACAAGACCTCACCTATTTTATCCTTTTTATGTACCTTGCTTTTCTGTTTTTCCTTTTTTTTTTTTTTTTCTTTTGGCACTGGGGATTGAACCCAAGGGCACTTAATCACTGGGGCACATCCCCAGCCCATTTTGTTGTTGATGAATTTTTTATTTAGAGACAGGGTCTCACTGAGTTGCTTATGTGTGAAACAGTGCTCATGTGTACCTTCAACACTAAATCTGACTACTTCCCTTCCTCTACCTATTTGCCAATCCATGAGGCACTATATAGAACTTAGAGAATACCAGCCAAACTCATCCTCCAACAACTTACACACATTCTAAATATTTAAACATCTTTAAAAATATATAAATAAAAAGAATCCATAATCTTTGGAAAATTATCCATTTACTTTCACTAGTTCTTGCAGGGAAGGCACTGTCACGTTTCTAGTTCCTAGCACAGAGAGGCAAAATGCCATAGGTTGAGCCCTTTCACCTCATGCCTGAGCCCACTCAGCATCCTGGCAAATGACAACAGCTTGAACTTTGATCATAGTCCTTAACTCACTCTGCATTTACTAAGCCCCTGTTTCACAAACAGTACTGTATGATTACCTGAAGACTAATAAATTATTTATGATCGCCTAATCCAAGAGGCGAAACAGATGAAGGGATAAATTATAACATGAACCCATTAGAAAGAGTGGTAACCTAAGGATGCAGGTGAGAGAGGAGAGAGATCTGACAAATATTTGCTTTCAGTTATAGATAGCATTGGATTGGTTTATAGCTAGAATCTGTATGAACACATACTTAGTAAGAACCACTCAGATCAAACAACCTATGGGGGATCAGCAATACCCTCTCCGTTAAATAAAGCAACTTTAAAACCATCTTACTGTCATATACTGTATTTTTGAATAAGACAGAAAAAAATAAAATACTGAAAAATACTGTGCTACATCTACATTAAGCTGTCCTCAGGTGAACTCACCACATACCACCTTCTACCCAATCACTAGGTGAGTGTAACTGCCCTTACAGCACAATCAGTAGCTAATTCCAAGGTGGTAAGTACTCAGATTTGAGTTAACCCCACTAAATGTGGGGTTCAAACAGTTCTGCTTCCCACTATCACATCCATACCAAGACTGGCAGCCACAGGAGAAGCAGTTGGTAGTTATCTACTTGAAAATTATTCCTTTTCAACTACCAATCCATATGTACCTCAATACTAATAAAGAAATAAAATTCAATCCTAGACATTAGAAACTATATAAATTTCTATTAGACCATATGGTCTTGTATCTCTCTCTCACATTTTCCAGGCAAAGATTACTCTGGAATTTTTAAGAGTATCTATTTTTCTGTTTGCACTTCCAAAAATATATGCCATCTTTTTATAGGATTACCATCTGTCTTAAGCTTAAGTAAATGTTCTGAATTAGTTCTACTGCTTTTCTAATTGTAAAATTTTAAGTTTACACATGGTTTGAAAATATGTACAATGGTTCAAGGAAAAAGGTTTTAGATTCTTAAACTTTATATATTACAAACTCTTTTTTAAGGAATGATTTCAGGCAGCTGTAACATCTAATGCAAAACATCAAGACAAATCAAATTACTTACTTCCAGCAAAATGGCCTCATTTTACAAATAAATTTAAAATTTATCTTAAATTAAAATTTGCCCAATGAAACGAAATGATTTGCTACTAGAAAACAGCAGATCCAGAATTGGAACCTGGCTGTGAACTGCAAGGCTGACCCTTTTCCTATCCCAACTGCCTCGTTTGTCTTCCTATTCCTTAAATCAGTGGCTCTTAAAACTTTCAGGCCCGGGATACCTTTACTCTCCTAAAACTTATTAAGAACACGAAAAGCTTTGTTTATGTGGATTATAGCTACTGAAATTTATCCTACAAGAAATTAAAAATAGAAGAGTTTAAAATATTTAATTAATAATTCATCTTCAAACAATATACTTATTAAGTGTTAACAGACAGCACTTCAGGGAAAAGAACTACACTGCCCTACTAGAGAAGGCAGCGACAGAAGTGGCACTGCTTTACATGTTGAGTCTCTTCTGCCACTCAGAAGAGACAGCTGGACTTACTCCGCTTCGGCACTGAATTTCTCACAACATGTTGTTTTAGTTGGAGTATAAGAAGAAATCCAGCTTAGTTTAGAGCTATACTGTATCTTATTTATAACCTTCTCATATCATTGTGGATATTGTTCTTTGATATTATACCAAACCTCAACAAGTGACAATTTCTTAAAAGTTAATCAGGGCTGGAGATATAGCTCAGTTGGTAGAGTGCTCGCCTTCCATGTTCAAGGCCCTGGGTTCAATCGCCAGAACCACAAAAAAAAAGGTTAATCATACTGTAAAACCTGCAACCATATCAAAAATAATTTTCTCTATTACAGTCTATCGTGCATCTTAAATCAACTTTTTTCACGTGGGTGATTTTACAACATCATGTATTAGTTATTTCATCACAAAGTCATGTTTGTGAATGTCATTGATCTCCTTAGAACACTCTTTGGTAGTGGGCCACAGAGACGGCAATGGCGAGCTCAGAGCTGTGACTTGTGCTTAGAAGTCTGAACTGTGCTACTGGCAATAATACCATTGGCTATTCTCAGGGAAGTCACAAATTTTGATCATTTACAAAGTGTCTACTAAAACAAGTTGAATAGTGTGTCTTTCAATTGTTCTTTTAAGAAAAAGTAATTTTTTTCATGAAAAAGGTAGTATATGCAGTCAGTAACTCAAACTGTGGCAGCAAGCACTTCCCCCTGAACTAGCCTTCCTTCTTGTTTAGTGTGCACTTGCGCTTTCTAAATACACCCATTTCAAGGTAAGGATTGTAAAAAGATGTGTACTCAAGGCAAAGACTTAATGAAATTAATATTTTTAGCTTCATCAATGGCACAATCAAGCATGACAGGAATTTTCTTTCATATTTTTGTTTTGTTTTACCAAATTGCTTGTCAATAAAGAACATATGACCATTATTTAAGTTCACTACTATTACTTAAGTTTGCTACTATTAAGTTTGGCGCCATTGCCTTGATTTGTTTTTGCACCATCCATAAAACTTGATATAGTAAGAAAGGCAAATTATGTCAACATTATTATAAAAGGGGATCTACAGACCATAGTTTAAGAACTGCAAGCTTTAAAATGTCTGTGAAGACAGTTTAAAACAACAAAGAGAAGAAAGGATACAGACAGAGCAAAGCAGCCATACAGGAAGTAAGCAAGCTCACACCATCACGAATACCCCTCTGAAGCATCTAAGGGTGCATTATCTACTTTTGAGACCCTTCCATTTCAGTATCTTGGATTCTATTCCATTGTACCTGAATCTGTGAGTACCTGTACTTTTCCTTTTTTACCAAGGGGTACTAAGTCTTTCCAGACAGAGATAGGGAAAAAAAAAAAAAAAAGAGAGTAAAGCAAGTATAATACAAAATATACCAGAATTTAGGTTCCAACAGATTTACTATGCCAATAAATATGAATGGGATAAATTCAACTTTTACAAGAACAAGATTTTAGATCTAGTTTAAAAAATTATCCAATTAGATGTTATATGGAAATGGACACCCTAGTAAAACAAACTGTCTTCAAAAACTTTCAGATACTGAAACACTGAAGCCTTTTTTGTGCTGCTGTCCTCTTCACCGCCCCTGCTCTTATGTTCTTATTCCATCAGCTCCACTGTGTTCAGTATGTTCTACCTGAGGGCACGACCTCTATAATATGGTCAGTTATAGCCCCAGTATCTAAAATAGTTGCAGGGCATGGCTGATGCTCCAACCCACCATTTTACAAATTTAAATTCATTACATGTAAACAAACATCTAACAAAATTATTCCTTCGATAATAGACCTAAATGATTTGTAAATACTAAATAGAGATACTAAATTTTTTTCCTATACAATTAAGTTGTAGGCAAAACCTCTCTAAAAAAACTAAGGAAATAGTATTTAAAAGAAAAAAAAAACAACTATTGTACAAAGATTGCTTTACAAATGCCATTAAATTCTAATTCTACTTAAAAGAAGTGCCAAACTAGAAATCCTAGGTGATGCATTATGTAAAGACAAAGTTTATACAGTTCAGGCTGACACAGAATTCATTCAATGCACACTTAAAGGAAAGACATTTAGAAATTAAAGGGCATATATTTACCTATTTTAATTCAAAGTAAAATGATTAAAGTACATAAGTCCCTAGACAGCGAAGTTTTTCAATTAACCAAAAAATGCCAATCCTGAATAATTTTGAAAAAAAATAATCCTCTAATAGAAAAGGGTGGAAAAAGACATAGCAACAAAGGAACTTAAGTAACAATACAAAATAGTATATATTCTGGGAAACTGCACACACTGTAAAAAAGGGCACACTACAAAAGATACAATCCACAAAGAACACAAAAACGGCCAAAAAAATCTGTACACATAAAATGGAACAGCATTAAAATGTCTTTTAGCACACTAAAATAAAATAAACAAAAGTGAAGAATACAGCAGATTTAAATTACTTATTTTATCTAACAGAT